TATATNTAACTAATATATATATATATATATACAGATATTCTGTTATCTTAAAATTCTTAAAAATAATTTCATAAATTTTTTAAAATTCACAAAACATATCAAATATATCAATATTTTCCAATATATTATAATACAATTCTATACAATTTTAAACAAATCCAAAAAAAAAAAAAAATAACCATACGAAATCTTTCCCCTGCAAATGAAAACTCAAATATATTCCATCCTTTCCTCGATCTCACCCTTTCCATCCCTCGAGCGGCGGTTTAACCCCGGCGGTAAATCGCAGTGAATCGCTTGGCGAAAAATGGCTGAAGCCGCGTGTGCAAGCGGCGGCCCTCGCGACAGAGGCTGAAAGCTCCGCGGAGCTTTTAGCGGCGCTGTGTCTATAGAGCTTGCATATCGTTATCAACCCCCTGACAACAGCCGGTCTCGTGTCGGGTCTGGGATCGATACAGCTTCTATTGCGATATCAACGCGCAAACCCCATGGCAGGATGGTCGGCGGGGGTGGATTGCGCAACCCCCGACCTCCCTTCAAACCCCTCCTGCTTGCTCGTCGTTGTGCAAATTCTATAGAAATCACGCGTCGCCTCACGACGCTTTAACGCGTTAATTCGCCTGCATCTCTCCTCTCCTCTCTGTTCCCTTCGGGGGAAGTAAGTCGGTGTTCCAATAATTCTGGAAAATATCTTGCTACGAAGGAGAATTTGGGATTTTGTTGTTGTTTCTAAAAGGATTGCGAATAATAATATTTAATATGTATATGTTAAGGTAAAGAGTATTGATTAAATATTTATAGTTATGAGTATTTGTTTAGGAGTATTTTTGAAGTTCTGTGTGATAAAGTTGGAGTTTGTAATTTCTTTGGTGGTTTGAGAATATGGCAAATAAATATAGATACGAAAGATAAGATAAAGATAAAGAGAAATTCTGAAAAATTTCTTGGTATTTTACGTTCTGTTCTTTTAAAAGATTGCAACAATATTGACTTGGTTATAAAAGATATTATTTGTTTTGAGGTATTTTTAAAATTTTTAATTTTTTATTTAAATTTCTTAAATTTTATTTCATTTTTAAATATTATTTATTTTAAAAGCAATTAAGTGTATTCTGATTAATAGGGCAGATTTGAAGTGTGATATAAATGTGTCCTGATTTTTTCTAATTTTTTAAAAGTAGGAATTTGTAATTTCTCTGTTAGAAAATTAAAGGTTTGAAGCAATGAAGAGATTAATAAAATTGATCGCTTAGCAAGTTATCAAAAGAATGATAATTACATTTAACCACTTACTTTATAATATAGAGTCATATAGAGTATTAATTATGACTCCTTCTTCAATAAAGAAAATTTGTATTTTAAATAAAATTTAATTTTCAATTTTAACTAGAATTTTTCAATTTTGATTGTAAAATATAAATTTTATTAAATATTAAATAGAAATAAATAACTAATATTTTAAATGGCTTTTTTGAAAAATAATTAAGATAAAAAATGGTTATTAAAAAAAAATCATAAAATAACTATGTTAAAGTAGTTTATATGTATATCTTTTCTAATTAAAATTTTTTAATAAAAATTGTAAAATAACTATTAATTAACATATTTAACTCAAAAAGAATTTTTAATTAATTTTTTTAACAATTATATATTATATTCTCACAAAAATATCCCAAAATATATTTTCAACATCTTCAGATTCTTTTTTGAAATTTCAATTTTAAACTATAAGAATTATTTTTCTCTTCTATTATTTCACTATTTCATAATGTTATAAAAGATATAAATGTACACGAATTTTAAAATTGATTACAATATTTTCTACTTCAAGGGTAATGCGAGAATATGTGAACATAGAATATTTCTATTAAGCAGTTGTAAGTATCTGCTACAATTCCCACTATCCTTAATTCAGTTGAGACTTATTATCCTCCGGACTATTGATGCGATCAAGTATGGTAATGCTCCGTGAAAGTTATCGACTCGTAAAGCAGGGAAATTTGTGTGTTGCGTCATTTGCCGTAGATTGAGTGTAATGTAATGTAACCATCTGAAACTTTTCGTTTACATTAGTGCATAAAAAATTAACTTATAAAAAAATATAAATTATGATATTTTAGAATAAAATAGAATAATCATTATAAGTATAATTATCTATTTGACTATTAAAATTATATAGTCTTATATTTTTTATTGCATAATAAATCAGACAATTGAAACTAAATATTTAATTGCCAGATATTTTAATTATTTAATAATTAATTAATTAATAATAAATAAATTAATTAATTAATAATTCTTAATCTTGTATAATACCAATAAAATGTAAGATATGAGTTTGATGTTTACTTATAATAAATAATGTTTAGATGATTTAAAATTAATATTACAAATGTAAATATTCCAATTAAAATAGATAAATTGAAATGAATTTGAATTCTATTAGATTATTTTTAATTATAATATTATATAAAGAATATGAAATAAAAAAACTTTTTTTTTAGTTAATTTTGTTATAAAATAACGAAAATATTTATAATTATAATATATATTAAAAATAAATGAATTTAATATAATTAATTAATATATAATTATTAAATTGTATACATATATAATGTTCTTTTCATATATATAATTAAAAATTTATCCAATTGAATGATATTAAAATCTAATCAAATTAATTAACAAATCTATTTTATTTATATTAAATCAACAAACTTATTTATCTTAAAAATTGTATGCTCCAATTAATTTTTAATCATCCAAAACATTAAAAATTATTAGTAATAACAAATTTAATCTCTTATACCTATTTCAGTAATCGATCGATTTTTACAAGATTCTCGGACCATTCAAAAGGGTGCCGGAATTTCGAAAGTCGCCGCTCTATTATGCTCGTCTCCTATTCCCCTTTTTTCCGGTCATTCATTTCAAGTAAAGTCTACGCCAATGTTGAGGCCCGGTGCTGGCTTCCTAAGGCCAGGTGGTGCACAACCGTTGCCATCCCCAAAGCCCAGTGTTCCGCTCTTGCAAGCAGCTGCAGCTGCGACATACACGCTCCTCCTTGTACGTTTGCACACGACGTCTGTAATATACGTAATACGTGTATACAACTGCCTTTGATAGAGATCGTTTTTAAAAAAATCTAGATTTGGGTCAAAAAAGATTCGAGTTTTCGATTCAATATTCTTTCTTTAACGATATTTGCATTTGCGTAAATATCCTATCATTTTTTTAGATGAATAATTAGATCTTATGAAAAAAAAATACTCACATATAATTTAAAATTTATATTTGTATAATTTAAAAAACAAAAACTATAATAAAAAGATTAGAAATAAATTCTAATGAGAATTTATAAAATAATTGAAAAATATATAATAAAATAATCAACAAATAAATTTCTTTAATTAATATTCTTTATATATATATAATAAAAATGAATAAGTTTAACATTGATGGTATAATGCATGTTCTCATTGTTTTCACCATATTCTTTTTGACTGGTAATTTTCGTATCGCGATAATGTCAATTACCGACTGCACAAATTCGACCCTTATAACTCGTGCCGAAGTTTCGCGCTTATCGTTGTGTAACGGTTTTCTCTGAAGTAACAATCAATGGTAGATAAAATAACTACTTATCAACGAGATATCCGCAAGGTGAGATCAGATATATAGCGTTTCATTTTACCACAACCTTTCCGCTTCGAGAGGTTAGAACGTCCGCCTGCCGCTACGCACGAATTGCGCGAATGTATTGGTAGCCGTACTTATACTCACTGACAAGGGCGTGCTCGCACACACACAATCGTATAATGACAGCAGGGAGTTGGGGCAGCAACGAACAGAGCAGATGGGGAGTTTGCTTCTGCAACGAAAGCCAGTCGTTGTAGTGGCTTGGTTCAAGCTGCCCGCCTTTTCCCGGTTTCTCTGCGTGATTTCGCGCTCCTTTCCTCCGACCTCCTCCTCCCCCGTCCTTTGTTATTTCTCGTTGTTCTATCGCGAGAAAACTCAGGTGACAAGTATGGGTCGGTCGCGTGGCTCTCTTCCTTCCTTCCTTCCTTCTTCGGCGCAGCGCCATCTCCCACTTTGAAACACATTTTCGAGATCTCGAGCTGCGGCGCGATATTGAAACGTTCGATATTGAAAAATTATCGATCGATATTTTGTGTAGTGTTAGATAACATTCATTGTAAAGGGGATAATATTCATTATAAAAAATAAATACAGTGAATAATTAAATAAAATAACGCAAATTTTCTTTTCTTAATATTAAAAAGTATATCGATATCGTCTCGTATAAATTATAAAAACATTGTAACCAATATTCAAATATTCAATTATTTAGAAATTATTTCGCGAAGCTTTTTTAGGTTAAACGTGTTGTAAAGTGTTAATTCGCGTTAATTATTAAAATAATATCACATAATAAAATATATTGAGTTAATAAAAATACCGCAGCTCGTAATATTTAAAGAGATCAATTCTTATTTTTCAACTTTTATCCAAGGAGGCAATTGAGGAAATTCTAAAAGGAGTATTCGGTCGTGAATCTTTCTTCTTCGAAATACGCGGGTCTCTCTTGAATTTCAATAACGCGTTGTTCGTAACTATTCTCAATGGCTCTGGCTTTGTCTTGTCAACGACCGCGGAGACCATTAACCGTCAATAGGGCTACCAGGGTGGCACGGCTAAGGCTCTTAGGAAATGTTTTTGGTGAGTACAGAATATATCCGTACATCTTTTTTTCTCATATCCTTCCCTTCGTTATAGACAGTCCCTCCAGCTAAGATTTAGAGTATTTTTACGGTGTCCCACACGTGTTACCACGCATAGAGCGCGTTTATAAATACATTAACGGTTTTCACTATTACAATATCATGTCATTATAATATGTTAATTCATTACAGATGTCGTCGTTAAATTTTATTTTATTTTAACATAATATTGAATAATAAATATTTATGTTAATTTTTTTCATCATTTTTTTTTAATCATTCTAAAAGCTAACTTTTATAATTTTGTAATGAATTATATTGAATTTATTTCTTCTATTCGATAGAAATTAATATACATGCAAATGATATATAATGAGTAGTAACTTGATTAGATATTCATAAATAAAAAATTAATAAATAATATAGTAACAGAAATGAATTAAATTAATAAATCCAGTTATGAATTATATAATTATATAATTTTGCAATTCCCTTTAGTCGACGAAAATTAATAATTTAATAACATTATGTATTTTATTAATTTTTAAGCAAATATATAGTTAATTATATAATTTTTTATCACTTAAGAAATGATTAGAGATTTATTCAATGATTATTATATATCTTATCATGAGATAGTTAATCACTAATTTCAAGTAATATAATTTGAGTTACGATTTACAATTATGTTACAATTTTACAATAGCAACAAATTATTATTTTACGTTATAAATGCATAACATTGC